CATCACAATCACATCATTATACACCATAGACACAAAGACAAACAAGCATACCAAATATCAGGAAGGCAGCATTTGCAAAATAGGACGTCTAAATATGAGCACAACAAAAAGTGTCCAGCAGATGGCAGACAAGATTCTGATGTTTTGGTAAGTTGCTATTAAACATATAAATGTATTATTTTCCAGTGAGGCAATTAGTATTTATTAAGAAGTTATTTCAAACCATTTAGCCATTAAAGATGAGCWATGAAAAGTGTTTTTATTGGCATACCATTGATGTCATGCTCTACTTCGGTCCTCCAGCGCTGTAGGCAGGTTTTAACAAACTGCAGCTCTTCTTCTGTGATGCTGTGAGGCGCTGGGTGTGGGGGGCAGTCAGAGGGGTGTCTGCACTGGGTGAAAGGCTTGTAAATAGGTGTCCTCTGGCAGGTCGAAACCAGGCCCTCTGGGGAATCTGCATCTTCGGGTTCACTGAAACGAGCAGGAGTTCCACAAACAGATTGGACGTTTTTGGAYGAGCGGTTCTCTGTTCAGAAACAGATTTAGCGGCAGCGAGCGCGGCCGACACACCTGCTGTCTTTGGCGATGGTGTCACTGACGGGAAGGCTTGCAGGAGGTGGCGAAGACGAGGCGAGTCGCAGATCTTCAGCTGGGGAAGCGCTGGTGGGTTTGGTGGTGGCAAACTCCAGAACAAACTGAAGCATATCTGCYAGAGGATACTTCACCGGTCCTGACCCATAGTTTTTATAACTTAAAGACAAATCAAATGAAGATGGAAACGTTGTCATGGTTTGTGGATTTGAATATTTATCAAAAAAAGTAGGTCCTCTGGATGGGTTCTTCTTTACTGAAACGTTTCGTCTCTCCTCCAAGAGTCTTCTTCAGTCTGATGAGTTTCAGATGATCTCAGCCTTATAAGCACTGCCTCCACCTGGACAAACAGGTTAGTCACATGCAAAAGAGGGCCATCGCCTAACAATAGGATTGATTAGTTCTATTGTTCATAGAGGGTCATGTGCCCCAACATCTGACCCGTGTCATGTTATGTGCATGTAGTGAATGCAAGCGGGGGTTCAACGTGTGAATCAGGGCCGCAATGATACCAACACAAAGAGGGAAAGGGGGAAAAAAACAAGGGGACGTCGAGCCCCGCCTGCATTCACCACATACACATAACACGACACGGGTCAGATGATGGGGCACATGACCCTCTATGAACAACAGAGCTAATCAAGCCTATTGTTAGGCGATGGCCCTCTTTTGCATATGACTGACCTGTTTGTCCACGTGGAGGCAGTGCTTAAAAGGCCGAGTTCACCTGAAACTCATCAGACTGAAGAAGTCTCTTGGATGAGAGACGAAACGTTTCACTAAAGAAGAACCCATCCAGAGGACCTACTAATTTTTTCTTTGATTTTTTTCTACCTGGATTACTGAGATGCATCGGGACATTTGAACGTTTAGGTTTCTTGAACTGTTGTCTTTGGTTTTATCAGGTTAACTTAGTATTTTGTACTATTGTCACTTTTACAACTGAATCTTCATTTCTGATTAACACCTGTAACTCCTGGTTCCAAATTTGGGACAAACTACCTTTGAGCTTTTGGTTTTTCTAAAATAAATGTTCATTTTGCCTGTTCATCATCTGCTTCCTGTCTTTCATGCATTTTGATCCTCTTAAACTACAAGTAACGGCAAGATTAACTTCAATAAAATGTTTAGATTTTAACGTGTTGCAGATGACTCACCACTCAAGTTTTTGTTGAAGGACTGCGAGCTGCTCCTTCAGCTTTTTCACTTCTCCTCTTCTCTCATTGGTCCGTTCAATGTTTTTGTGAAGATATCTTCCAAAACAAGAGGCGTAAATCATGTACATGTATAAGAATAGCTAAAACATTCACGAACCTTTCTTTTCTTACATTTATAGAGTGGTTCTTCAAGACAATGTCAATCACTAGTGATCACTATAGGTTTCATATTAAATTTTAAACCTGTACAAAACTCACCTGTCCATATAAATGATTTGTGGAAACTCTAACTTCTTGTGTATCTTCTCAGGACGACCAAGTTGGGTGTTAAATTCAAACCTAGAAAGCTCAAAGGTCAAGACTGGAGGCAGCTTTTTAAACCATCTCTGCAAGAAACAGAACACACTTTCTTGGCAGAAGGTCACATTTTACATCACAATATTTTCTTTTTTTTAGCTGTTCAGAGCTGGTCACCTCCCGTCCAGACGTGACGCTGTGATCTGAGTGAAGCGACTCGATCTCCTTCTCGACCATTGCGCCTTCGAGGCATTCATCCAGGTTGTTGAAGCCGTTGACTTGCAGGGGGTACTGGCCAAACTGCTCAATATTATACAACGTCTTACCTAAAGCCAAATGGAGGGTGTCAGGCTGAATTTATATGACAAGAAGAAGATAATAGTTAGCATATACCTTCATATCTTCTCTCTGTCACAAAGGTGCCGTAGAATAGCTGAACCATGGGGTTCTGCTGCTTGTCTTCTGCATTCCTTTAAGCAAAGCTAGTGTTATTTATTCACTAAAAAAGATTTTAATCAACAAATACAGGAACATTTAACTTGCTTTCCATTGGCAGCCAGCTGAAATGCATCTTCCAACCAGTCAAGCAGTTTATGAGAAAACTCACTGACATCCTGAAAGTAAAAAAAAAAAATAATAAATAAAACATTTAGATACTTTTAGCTAGTGTCTGCCTTTTATCTTATGTTCTGCCTCTGTCTGTTTCAACTGTTGGGCTAATTTCAACAGTCATTCAACACCCAGAAAAAGCTGTTTCTCTAGTTACAAAAAAAATTGTAAAGGGTACTTAGGAAACTTTTATAAGTTGTTTTTACCCTCATCTTTCTCAGCAGGTGAAATGAGTTATGGTCACATATGTCACGCGTGATGACAACCGAGCTGCATTCATGACATCTGAGCAAACATTACGATGAACATGAAGAGRTGGAAAACATTTGCCTGATATTTGTCACACCTGTCAACACTTTTCATCAACATTTAAAAAAAATCCTTATTTGCTGACTTTTAATTCAAAGTGAAAATGTAGTTTTTGAACATTTTGGATACTTTTTAGCTTTGTGTAATTAATTTTGTTCTTATTGTTGCTCATGCTTTAATTTTGCTTTGCTGTTTTTAACTAAATGCACTTTTGGTCAGCCGAAGTTATTCTAATTGTGCATTATGAATAAACCTGTCTGCAGCTTTTATTCAGTAATTGCCTCCACACAGACCAGCTCTCAGGTAAATCCCAGATTTTATTATCTAGGTGGTTATAGAGACTAAAATACTGACTGCATAGTTTGAAAATATGTGACAACAGCAAATTATAACAATTATTTGTAAATGGGAAACATTGGGCTGCCTTTAATTGACCAGTAATCCAGGTAAGAACTTTTCCCTTGGTCTACAAATGTCAGAGAAATTTGTTAATTTGGTGAAATAGATCGAGTCAAAGATCAAACCTCACAAAAAAAGACACTGAAAAAGCACCTGCACAGGTGTAACTGGACACTTTTTGTGGAAAACACAACCAGCAGTCTGTTCACATTGGATTTTTCCATAAAGACGTTACTTCTTGAGTGTCTGATGTTTGAATTTGATCAAAGCAGGGATTTGTTATGAGACCATGAGAGACAATTTAATTCTATCCCTTCAGCAGATGTGCAGTTTTAAATTCCGGCCACTATGGTGGCATATTTCTGGGAAACCAGAGCGTTGAAGTGACCAGTAAAAGATAACAAGCTGCTGCCAGACATGCACCACTTATTGTGACTGAGAGATAAAAAAGAACAGTTTTATCTTATCAGTAAGTGGGCTTGAATTACAAATGGGTTTTAAGATATGATATGTATAAATACATAAAAAAGCAGCAACTGTGTTGCACCTGTTGAGCTTCATTCGTCCTGAAGGCGTCCCGCAGCAGCTCCACTGCTGCAGAAGGATCCACAAACCTGCGGGTGGAGCCCACCATGAGGGCGAACAGGCAGCGCAGCTCCTGCATGAACGCGATGTTCCTCTTGTCCTGTTTGYCACAAACTCAGAGGTAAACATTGCTGCCTTTGCACCATCACTAAACCTGGAAGTGAACGCTGCTTTTTTAGGAAATCATTAAAAAAAAACTCTCAACCTGCAGGGAGGATACAACAAAAACAAAACATTGTTTGGTCAAAACGATTTTGAAAGGCAAACCCGTTACTCACTGCATGGCTCTTACACTTCTCGAGCAGTCGCTCGGACAAGTGGTAGTTGAGAACCAGCCTCCTGAACACAGGCAGGTGGAACAATGACTGCAACGAGATGAAAACAGAGTAAATTCACTCTGAAACAGGTCAAATCTGCATGTTAACTGTAAAATAAACCATATTTATTCAAATGAATTCAACATTTTCAGCATGGGTGTAATTAGTTTGTGTGTGTGTGTGTGTGTGTGTGTGTGT